ATTAGAGGGAACAAGAACAAGAAAAAGGCAATAAGTTCTATTTGGCCTTGTGCTATTTATAGCTGTTGTCCATTAGGGCCCTCATGAGTGCAATTCCTAGTCACAAGTGTACAGTCCTATAAGTTTCACTCAAGCAATAAGAACAGAGACCAGCCCTAAATCATGATGGTAGGAAAAAGAAAACAAAGCAAAAAATGGGAAGGAAGAAGGGAAAGCAGTGGGGAGGGGGTCAGCAGGCAATGACTTTGGAATTGGAAGTATGAAATATACACCTCAACTCCTTTCAGGTAAGAGTGGATAATTATTATACTAATATTATTGATACTACTACTAATAATGATAGCTTTAAGCTTATTGATCACCCAGCCAGTATAGTAGACAGGTGATGTCACTGATCGGGCCATAGGTCAACCAGTTGGTCCTTTTGAACAACACCTTTGGGGAAGATCTACCAATCAAATGGTAGAAATTGATTTAAGATAATACTTAATAAGTATTACTTGAAAGAAGGCGTACCTGCAGAATAAAAGAAGGGCCACACACAACCGACCTAGAATAATGGTCTTTAGTTATAGGCAAGCAGGTTCTGATGCAATGTTAGGGGGAAAAACAAAACTTCCTAAGGTAACCACATTTTGATAGTTGAAGCCATTTCCTAAAAGAAGTGGTGGGGTTCACTTTGCTGGTCCAAGTGAGCTGGCACAACTCTGCCTTTAACTTGGATCACTACAGTGGATTGGCCTTTGTTCACCCTCCTATACTCCTATTACAGAAACACCCAGAACACTTTTTAGGTATATATTCTCTATTATACATTTGGCCAAACTTCATTTAACTTTTTCTGAACTTTGGTGACAGCAAGTAACCTGGCACTAGGGATAGTTAAAATAATAGGTGAGTGGAATGTGAAAGGAAAGCAATTTGATCACTACCAGGGTATGAAAGAATGGGATCTGCTGCTTGGTGCCTACTATGGTCATGCACTAAGGCATGGAACAGTGGAGTGATTTAGTAAGATCAGATCAGACCAGACAGAGACCAGAAAGTAGAAACCATAGATAAGAACATTAACAGTTAAACTTAATTAACTGTCATGTACTCAGTTAACTGTTGACTCAACAACTGAACAGATCCACAAAAGGTTGAGGAGAAGCAGAAAGTAATGTATGATGGGTGCTGCTGGCAAGGGATAAAAGAACAAGCTCTCTCTGTTGGGAGACCCCAAATTGTGGGCCCTCTTCTGTGCTATGTAGCTGTCCTCCCCAGAACCAAGGCTAGGTCTGGCCAGCCTAGCTATAGGGTATTATGTTATTTGTATGAGTGAGTGAATGTGGGTTTGAATTTTCTTTTATACACGTTGAATCCCAAAAGCTTTATTGTTGTTGAATCTCAGTGTCCTGGGTTGATCACTGCATAAGATTGGGCTACTTCTTTGGAGACTGGCAACCCCATTCCTCCTGTTGGCAAGGCTCAAGTCATTAACCCTATTGTAAGAAAAGCAAGGTCTGGAGCTAAATTCCTGTCTAACACCCTCCAGGCTCCACAGACAGAAAACAAGGCCATCCTTGTAATGTCCACATACAGCAGTCAAAGCAGGATTGTCCTCCTTGTAAAACTAACTGTCATTTGCTTGACAGGTTTGATTGGTAATAGATATGCATGGACTAGAATGATATTATATCTGTACCACTCACCCTGATTAGATGAGACGGATTCTGTGCACCAAGGTCTATGAGTGAATGCATATGTCAATGATGAGGACTACAAATAAACTGATTTGCCATCTTCTTAATCCATCAGCATTTAGGGGGTCTATACAGAGAAGCTTCATTCACCCTAAGATCCATGGAGTAACTGAAGGGCAAAGGGCAAAGACTTATGTCTTTTCCTAAAAGTGAGAAATACAGTTTTTGCATTGTCCTTGGCTGCATCTGAACCCTCCGAAGCAACTAAAGGTAGCTTTTCATCTCTGAGAAGTGATCTGGGTAAGCATGAAAAAATAGTTTTGAAAGCAGCCTGGTGCTATCAATTGCTGTTTTTCCACAGAACGAAAGTGATCTCTCATGGAGTGTCACACCAAATCATATAATTGTCAGAGAGGCTGCCAGTTATGGATCAAGATTGTCAACGCACATCATTTTCAGAAAGAAGATATTTCATTCTCTTTCCCTTCTTATTGGCAAACCTTGAAAGGGATTTGGAATCAGAAGTGGCTGTTCATTACCTGAGCAAGAGAGAGAGACTGGAATCATGTTTGCAGTGTAGACTAATGATGTTTAAAATGAGACACTAAATAAGAGTTTTTTGTTTGTTTTTTTAATCTGCGCTCAGTCGTTACCGACTCTGCAGTGACTGCTTGGACGAGTTCTTGCAGTTTTCAAGGCAAGT